CCCCAAAACCCCAAAACCCCAAAACCCCAGTTTTAACTATAATTTTGAAAATGGATTATTCTTATATGGGCATAAAACGAACAAGGAATGGTAAGTGTTGGAGTGGAAGCTTATAGCACCTGGGAGTCGGAGCTTTACACAGATTATTGATGGGTTAAATTAAGAGGAATAGTACGAAAGATAGAAAAAGATATATTGCAAAAAGCAAACAAATTAACATGGTATGTTTGAATAGAAATCTCTTTGTTGTTTAAAAATTCTTTAGAAGCTACAAATGATAAAAGATACAAGTAAATTATTCATTTAATAATAGTCAAATATTATAATTAAAAAACTAAAAACAAAAGAAGGACTTTCAAAAGACAAAATAGAAAAAGTTATCCAAATCTTCAAAAGTAAGCTCCCCAACCCTACTTTTACAGACTCAAACCTCCCAATCAAAAGAAAACCTCCAAACCCCTCCCACCCCCTAAAAGACGAAAAACTAATCCTAAACCTAAAAACCCACCCACTAAGCCTCATCACCCCCAACCCACCCTCAAACCCCCCAAAACTCCATCCCCACCACAACTCAACTTTAATCCCTACCTCCACTCCTATCCCCCTCCCCCCTCCATTCCACCCCCAAAATCCCCACATCTCCTCTTCCCAGTACACCACTCCAGCTCAGTACAGCCATACAGCAGCCAACCCAAGGTAATTACTGGCGCTTTGCCTAGCAGCATGAGTTAACTTAGTAGGAATTAGTCGTCAGAGAAGTCAGGGAAAGACAAAAGGGTTGGAAGAGAGTGGGAATGAGGGTGTTGTGCGAAGTGGAAGTCAAGGAATTAATAGGCGTTTTATAAGGTATTTATTGAAGATTGATTGGGTTTTAGAGCTAATAAGGGAAGGGGTAAACAAAGGAATTCTGAAAATAAAACGAATAAAAAAGGAAGGGCTACAATTTTGGGATCTTTATATGAAAAGATGTGAATATTAAAAATGCTGAAGAAAGACTACTTCAAAGACATGAAATGGAGGAAACTTAAGTTCGATCCTTCAGAGATAGACCCCGACTACGCTCTCTCTGGGATGCTTATTGATAAGCAGTTGTTGTGGAATGGGTATTCTAGGTGGCAGGATCCAAGAGAAATACATAAGAGCAGCGATGGATCAAAGAGGAAGAATAAGTCAAAAGTTAAGAAGATGATTCAGAAATTGGAGGTAGATGTTGTGGATGAGTATTTTAGGGGAGATATTTGGGAAGTAAAAAAAATGCCAAAATTCACAATTGGAGAAGTACTACTTTTGTATTATTTTTAGGCCTTAGCAAAGCTTATACTGAGAAAGAAAAGATTAATCTCTCTACATTTTGTGATGAAGAGCCTCTTCAAATGCTCCATCATTCTACCAAATTCTAACTCTAAAAACCATCTCAATAAATCACAAATACTCCGGGGTTTTGGGGTTTTGGGGTTTTGGGGTTTTGGGG